CTCATTAGAGCCACCCGGAACTGCCTCGTCGCGCTACGTCTACTCGTGTTCGACGAGCAAACACAGTTAGACACCACGTTACGTTACGTACAGTTAGACAACCAGCTAACACCGGGTGGGCGACGGGTGAACGCCGCGCCGCCGCCGCCGCGTAGTCAACTCAGAAGCAGAGCGTTTACAACCAGCAGCGCCCAGTACATAACAAGCGTGCGAGCAACGGGTGGTCACCGAGTTGTCCACCCGCCGCCCGCACGCGTACAGCTTGTGGGCGAGGCGATCCGGTGACGGTACGGAGTTGATACAGTGAGCGTGTACGCATAAAAATCCTTACAAAGAGTATTAACCGGACGAGTGGAGATGGTGCTGGTCGGGTGTCAGGTGAATCTAATAAGCTGTGACCTTAAATCCTAAATTTGACGTCACTGAGATGAATGACTGATGAGAAATGTGAATGATTAATTATTTTAACAGAATAGTGATGCAAGAACAGACATTTAAATCGTTACGCAAATATATTAATCATAGTATATTTATAACTCTCACATTTTTAGGTCACCAGACCACTTGAATTATGTATTTTGGACAAAAAATTATTGCGACGCAAATCACACCTGTTACTAGGTGATAACAATCATTATATAAATATATTATTAGAGAAATAGCTTATTTATTCAAAACTTTAAAACGCATCCAATTTTTGTCCAAGTCCAATCAAGGTGGCAAACTTTTTTTTTCAATCCGTTGAACAAGTGAGTTTTTTTTAAATATATAAGCGGCAGGGTTGGTGGGACACGAATACCACGATCGAAGTTTGTATTTATATAACTTTGTCATATACTTTAGAGACACGAATTTCATAAGTATTTATTTGCCGTGGTAGCATAATTGGTCAGTGCATTCGCCCGGATTGCGAAGGGTGCGGGTTCGAGTCCCGTCCGCTGCCTGGTCCCTGGGATTATTTCTAGTAAAACTTTTCTTTAGAATAAAATAGTTGTCGTGTTTCAATAATTATTACAAACTTCATTACAATATTAATTAAACGCATAAATTATATACCAGCTGTTAAGCTGCTGCATTTTACGTGCTTCGCTTAAGATAAACTATCTGAACCGCATTTTATAGTTACGAGTACTATAACAATTAGTCATGCGAATATTATCAATCAATTTTATAGGTGTATTAAAATAATGGTCTCCTTTTCAATAACATCGTCACTATGACGTAAGTATGATACGCTTTGTGTGAGACGGGGAGTACAAAGTAAGTGATGACAAAGTCACATAACATCACATAATATTTAATATGATAAGAAATATTTCTTGAAGTAAGCTGGCGAACGCGTTACGAAAAGTGTGATCGGGCGAGGCGAACGGGAGTTGAGTGGGGGATGCAAGCAAGAGAAAGCAGTGCACGCGCACATTTTCTTTCTCTCTTTCTCTTATAGCTAGTAAATGAAATATGTATAACTATGTACATATATATACTCGTATTGTACACACATCTACTGTAATAAAATGGTAGGAAAGTTAAAACTGTAGATTGAATATTTTTTTAAAAGAATACTTGGGGTGTGTTCTACAATCGATACCGAAGCCAAAAATATAGTTTTTAGAATTCTTGTGTTTGTCTGTCCGGGATAAACTCAAAAAGTACTGCATGGATTTACACGAATATTATTAAGAAGTCGGGTCAACATATAGGCTACATATTTTCACGCTATCACCTACGGGGAACCAGCAGTGAACCTATATTTCTAGCTAACTCCACGCGTACGAAGTCTCAGGCGGCCGCTGGTATTTAATATGCTAAGAAATATTTGTATTGAACAACAACATTAAGACATTAGATCAAAAGTGTCTTAATTTTATTATTTAAACAAAAACATGGCACTTTTGATCTGGTGTCTTGAATGATGATGTTGAAACATTTTACGCAATAAAATATGGCCTATGCTATTTATGTACAGTTTACTCGGAATTTATTGAATGTAAATTAATTTTATTTGAACATCTGTTCAAATACAGATATTAATTTAATTTGCGACAAACATTGTTTATTGGATGACTTCAATATCACTTGAATGTTGGAGATAGCTACACAAAACTGAAAATTTTCTCCGAGCTACTTTGAGCTATCTTGCTTGGTTAAAATAATTATTATATCGACATTGTCATACCCATAGTATTTTTTCACAAAGCTCAAACAAACAGACATTGTAGCAGACACATCCAGCAGCAAACCCGACATAAAACGGCAAACGTATATCTGCCAACTTTTTTGGTTTTTTCTTTTAGCTACATTCTAAACGCATAACTGAAAATTTTGTCCAAGCGGCTTTGAGCTATCTTGCTTGCTTAAAACAATTATATCAACTCTCTTTAATAGTATGAGTATCGCGACGTTATATAATATAGCTTTTTATCGACACTGTCATACTCCGTAGTATTTTTTCATGAAGCTGAAACAAGCAGACATTGTAGCAGACACATCTAGCAGCAAGCCCGACACAAATAAATAAATATTTCCAACACTCACACCGATTAGCCTAGCCCCAAAGTAAGTACTGTAAAGGCTTGTGACATGGGATACAAGGGTAACGGATATAATACATATATTGTACATATATAAGTATATTTATATAGTAATACATATTAGACATACATGACTGGAGTACAAAGGCTCGCATTCATCACACAAACATCTGCCCCCATCGGAATTCGAACCCGGGACCTCGAGTCGGCGACACCATGAAACCCAGCGTATAAACCAATCGGCAACTCCACAAAACAGACGGCAAATGTATTTTCTGGCAACTTTTTTGATTTTTTCTTACTTAAATATAAGTAAAGGAAAGTAATCAAATTGTTTTCACAAGAGTACCTACCTAACGCTTTTTTCAAATATATAAATAAGATGAAATTTGCGAAAAAGCCGATTTAATCCATGATTCACGTGAAAACGTATGCTCTTGACATTCAGCTTAGATACAATGTGTGCTTGTTTCAGGTTCATAAATTTTCCTTCAACCAATGGAAATAAAGTACGTACACAAGGAAATATAATTGAAGCTCACAATTATTTCGCATCAATTTATTAAAACGAGAAATATATTGCGCTCGTAACCGCAACTTACCAGATAAAATCCGACTCGAAACCGCTTTACCCATTCACTACTTAATAATTACTATGCTAATGTCACACTATCATTCAATATAAGCCCGATAAGAGCGACCATCACCAATGTGAATACATTTATGAAACGCAACATAATTGTTCAACGTAAAATAGATTATTTAATCTTAGGATGACGCATTAAAAAAAACAGAAATACTTTAAACTAGTTCATTAAAAAAACGGCACAGTGCAAGGTGGTCTCCCCGCTAAAGGTTCCGTGCCGTCTATAAAAAAGGCATTTGAAAAATATGTAATGCAATCATCATCAACAGCCTATCCTAGTCCACTGCTGGACATAGGCCTCTCCAATTGCACGCCACTCAGATCGATCTTGGGCTCCTCGCATCCAGCTCCTGCCAACCACCTTGCGCAAATCGTCACTCCATCGTGCCTGAGGACGTCCTACGTAACGCAATAATTGCTAATAATTATGTTTACCTAAACTAGCTCATTTAAAAAACCGGCCCAATGCGAGGCGGTCTCCTCGCTATAGGTTCCGTACCGTCAATAATATTAATTACGTTATTATAACTTAATAACAGCCATTGCTTTATAAATGACATAAATTAGAACTTAGCATCTCATTTAATTGCTTTTGTTGTGACAAAGATTAAATGATTGTGTTAAACTGATTTAAGATTTAATTTGATAAAGTCCACTTGCAGCAATTTTGCTAAATCTCAATTTAATAAATAAAACCCATACAATATAATGGCAAATTTTCATTGACGTTTTGTTTTTTTCGATGGGATAATTTTAGTTTAAGTAGTTCGTTTTTAGGGTTCAAGTCTCGTTTGCTGCCTGGTCCGCCTGGATTTTTTTCTAGTAAAGTTCTTTACATTTAAACGTCTAACAGTTAAATGATTTTAAAATCAATTGCTGTTCGTTAGTCTCGCTAAAACTCGAGAACGGCTGAACGGATTTATCTTATCTTGGTCTTGAAATGTTAATGAAGATCTGGGGAAGGTGAGAAAATATGTAACTATTGCGAAGAAGATAGTAAAAACGTCAATTTAATTTTCCCATATAAACTGTTCTATCTTCTTTCCTGTCAAACATTTGACGTTCGTCCCTTTTGGTACGGTAGACTCGGGTCCGTCATTTCTTCCAAATTAGTTTGACTGGTACAAAGTATGCGGGGTCAACTAGTATATACATATATGTGTATGACTAGTTAGTTTTAGTTAAATCGAGACTTACCAACCTTACCTTCTTAATCTATACTTATAATAAATCTGTAGAGATGTCAATTCTGTACATGAAATATATTTTTAAAATAACTATCAGGGGGTGGTAGTGATCGATACTGATGCCAAAAATGCAATCAGTAAAATTTTTGTCTGTCTGTCTGTCTGTGTGTATGTTCCTTATAGAAACAAAAACTACTCAACGGATTTTAACGAAACTTGGTACAATTATTCTTTATACTCCTGGGCAGGTTATAGTATACTTTTTATCACGCTACAATCAATAGCAGCAGAGTAGTGAAGGGAAATGTTGGGAAAACGGGAGAAGTTACTCCATTTTTTAAGCTTCCGTCGCGGGTGCAGCCTTAATGGTTAAAGTTACATAGAAATCATGTATGACGGAAATATTCTACATAAAATTGTCTAAAAAATATCCCGCAACAGCATATGTCTATCTTATATGGTTGACTCACAATAACACGTGTAATTATATAAATAAAGTCATTCTTTATAGCACAAGCCTGAGAACAAAAACTATAGTTTACACTACAGCTCTACACCGAAGCGAAGCGAGGGCGGGCCACTAGTGAATAAATAAAACAAATAAAAATTAACTGTGTTTTCACTTTGTCCCTGAAGGTCGGGAGTGGCCCGAAACATGACAGCGTAGTTACAAGGCGGCAGCGCAATGCTCGTGCCAGCAGCAAAATGGGTGGCAACCATCAACGAGGGCGGTATCGCCAATCAATTCTTCATGGCGCTCATGGGTAAGTTGTGAAGAACACTCTATGGATTTAACATTTTGCAATACATACCTGAATTTTAGATTGGTCGCATATGTGTCATTGCCTTTTAGTGTCTTCGCTGTGCGCATGCGGCGCCGGCGCAGCGGTAGTCGTTGTATTCTGTTTATTTAACTACCTACATTTTTTTAGTGTATTTGATATTTTGCAATACATACTTCAATTTTAGATTGGTCGCATATGGTTGGAGGCCATTCCGCGCGTATCTCCCGTTGCTTCGGCCTGCATAACCAAGAAGGTTCGTCAGGCCATAGGTGGTTGGTGGGATTTGGTCGCATATGTGTCATTGCCTTTTAGTGTCTTCGCTATGCGCATACGCAGCGTTAGTCGTTGTATTCTGTTTATTTAACTACCTACATTTTTTTTACCGTATTTCGACGACATAACTTTTTTGTTGTTGTTGTGAGTGTAAGTCACTGTATTTTCTCTTTAAATGATTTTTTTGTAAATTCTTTTGAGTAAATAAATTTCTTCAACTGTTCCCTTCCTAAACGCAATATCATCAACATGTTATTAATTTCTCCACTGCAGGCGCACAGGCCTTCGCTATGGATGGAATAGGGCGACTGGGCCGCGGCCCAGTGCGGATTTGTTGGGTGTTATACGCCAGGTGTCATGGTGTCGCCGACTCGAGTTTCTGTGATAAATACAAGCATATTTGTACTCCAGTCATGGACGTTTTATATTTATTTCTAAACAAATATACTTATATATGTACTCTATATGTATTCTATCCGTTACCCTAGTTTCCCATGACACAAGCCTTACAGTGCTTACTTTGGGGCTAGGCTAATTGGTGTGAGTGTTGGAAATATTTATTATTATACTCTCATTTATTTCATTTCACAAGTTAGGTTTTTTATAAAATAGATATAAAAGTAAAATACAAAAATGTAAATACAAAAATAAATATAGTATAAAAAACCTAACCTAGAAGGCCACCAGCAGCGGAGCGAGGCCCAAGCTACCGGTGGTTAGGGCCGCAGAGAAAGAAACCTGATGATGCGCGCCGTGTCCAGGAGTACTGCCTTTTGTCATCATCATCTCTACGGTCTGGCTGACGAAGGACTGTGGTCCACTGTCTCATACATGTACCCAAAAAGGATCTTAAAGTTACATCGATTTTATATAACTCTAGGATCCTTCTCAGCCATGAGTGAGGCACCGAATCATAGGCCTTTTTATAGTCAATCCAGGCCGCAGAAAGGGCTCCCTTGCTCCGCCGGATATGTTGGCAAATGGTCATGTCAATGAGGAGGAGTTCTTTAGGTTTAGGTTTAAAGATCTTTATTATTCACAAAGACAAACATTGCCACTTATGTGATAACACAATTTCACTTAAAGTTAGGTTTATATTAGTTAGGTGAGGTTCGTCGTCGTCATATTAAATGTAGGTAGGTACACATAATAATAAAATAAGTAGTAAGAATAACTAGTGTAGTAGTACCTAATTGTGATAATTATATGTAAATATGTAGGTATAAGTTTACAAATTTAAGTTTTGTACATGTTAGGTAGGTAGATATTATAAAAATTGTAATCATTGTAATATAGTAACTAAGTAGTAATAACATAGGTTAAAGAATGTAGGTACATGTCACCATTTCATACATTCAATAGGTAGTAATTTTATTTACACCTATATTTTGAGTTGGAAGTATTCAGATAATTTTTTCTTAAATGTATAAAATGAGTCAACATTTTTTATATGTGAGGGTATATTGTTGTACAACCGCGCTCCGTTAGTAGTAATCATAGACTTGCCGTACGAGGTTCGGTGCTTGGGTATGACGAGGTAGCTAGCTCGCCGACTGCTGCGCTCGGTAACTTGTTTTTGTTTAGTGAACGTAAGGTTAGTATGGATCGTTCTATTAAAATATTTTCTAATAAAAATGCAAATATTACATTTATATAGATTTTCGAGCTTTAGTACCACGGGACCCAACCGTACATCCATTTTGAGACACTGACATTATGTTATTAGCATTAATATGCTTATTAATTTCTGCTCTCAAAATGGATGTAAGGAGCTTGTATAATGTTGGCAAGCAAGTTATGGGTCTATAATTTTTTGCTTCCGTGGTACTACCAGATTTATAGAGAAGGAAGGTGATACCCGTTGTTAGGAAAATTGGCAGGGAACCACTCTCGAGAGCGTATTGGAATTGCATTGCTAAGCGCTCGTGTGAGCTTCGAAACCATTTTATCCAGAAGTTGTGCAGTCCGTCCGGCCCAGGACTTTTCCAGTTATGGGCCGTACGGATTGCACAACTTACATTTTCACGGCTTATGTTTACAGCCTCCATCGGTTCTATTGACTCACACTCGCGCTCAACAAGATCAATCCAATCACTCTCGGTGTGCTCAACAGGCACTGACCAGATACTACGCCAGAAGTTGGTCATAGCAGCAGTATCCGGCAGTGGCTCGTTAGTCACACTTTGATTGATTCCCTCCCATTTTCGGTACACCTTCCTTTGGTCACTTTGAAAGAGACGATTTATTCGGAATCGGTCTACCCTTTCTCTATAGCGCCGAATACGTCCCGCCCACGCATAAACCTTCTGTTTCAGGAAGTCAATGCGTTCCGTGACACAGGCTAAATAATCGCACGGTCTGATGCCAGTACCCGCGAATGCCTGGTTCACGAAACGCATGACTCGCGGGCGATTATTCCCATTCCTGAAACAGAATAGCTTTGCAATGATAGTTCTGCACCTGCTGATACGCTGTTCAATCCGCACTTGCCATGTAGGGACATCAGCAGCGGGTCTAGTTGCACAGTCAGGATCTGGGAACCTAACTCTGGCAACACGGCACGCCGCGATGGCCCCGCAGTACAGGATTGAATGCGTATCAACAAGGTTTTCACTAGTCTCGAAATATGAGACTAGTAAATTGTCCAGGGCTATCATTAGCGCTATATTGCGTTTATTCGTAGGCAGGCGTGGTAAACGTGGCCTAGAGTCCGGTGTATACCGATACCGGTCAATCGCCTCTTCCAAAGCCCTCCTCAATTGCTCCTGGGTCTGGGTACTTACACTAATGTTGGCACTGTCTCCGTCATTGATAACAGGGTCAATCCGCGTCACCTCCGGTGTTACAACAGATGTTGATAAAACCCGAGGTGTAGAAGACTGACCACATGTCACGACGGGAACAGTGCGCTCAGGTAGCGTCTCCAGACGAAGCCGCTCAAGTACAGAGTCGTCCAACCGCTTGTTACGTTGAATAACCCGTACCTGATCCGATAGTCGTTGCGCAGAAACAGTGATGGCTGGTTCAAGGGCCTGAAACAAAGCAAGCATCCTAACACGGTACGCAGTCATGTTAGTTTCTCCCTCTGTAGCACCATAATAGGCGCGCATGCAGTTCTCATTATTTGTATAAGACCATCGCATGCGACGCACTACACCACCGGTAGCGGGAGCCAAACGCGGAGCAGAAGGTTCCGCAGGCCCCAAGCGTGCCGGTAGCGGTGGTCGACCTCGTCGCACAGGTGGAGGCGGCGGCGCACTCGAAGGCCCGAGCCCATCGTCGCTCGACTCACTGGTGTCGGGTGCACTCGCAAAATCATAGCCCGACGAATCTGGTGAGGAGCTGGACGACGGCGCAGGCGGGGATGATGGGCGTGCGTGTGGATCCGCTCTTCGTTGTCTCGGCCTCAAATTCATCACATTTATTTTTCAGTTTCTTTATACATTTTCACATTTTCATAGATTTTTGACTTGACAGACGTCATTGGTGTTTGGGTTAGGGTTTCAGTGTTTAAATATTCTTTTTTAATCGCATTTATTATATTTTCGTTGTCAATTTTTTGGGAAATTTCTGGGAATTGTTTTAAATTACTTAAATGTATCAAAATCTGAAAAATAAAATATACGGAATAAAAATCGGTCTGACAGTGTCAGCGGTTTTTTTTTTATTATTATTATTATTATATTATTATTACTCCAACATAATTGGAGTTGTCAAACATAATTGGAGTCCCGTCGCAAAGCAAGCTGAAGCGACAGAAAAATCACCATTTATTTTCTTTCGCAATTTAATAATAGCGGATCTGACAGACAAGAAATAAGAAACTTCCTAAAACTTTAATTATTCTGGGCACCTTTCTTAATTTTGTTTTCCCTAAGAACTTTCTATAAAGTATAGGAAAACTGAAAAGATGGATGAAATCGGCAAAGTCAAAAGTCAAAGCTGCCACCTGGACGCCCTAGATAGAGACTTATTATTATAATACAATAAAATAAAATATTACTATGTTACGTCCAATATATTAAAAGTCAACGACCTTTCCAATTTTATTGTTTTCGTCAGATCCCCAATCAGGCCACGTGTCATAACGCGATCAGCCCACGTGTCCTGACGCGAGTTTAACAATTTTTTACCCATACAAAAAAAAGTGTACAACGCCGCTAAAGAAGTTTTCACTTCAAAAGAACAGCCCTTACTGAGTTTCTTGCTGGTTCTTCTCAGTACAAGGTCTCCCACCGTAGATTTGCGAACCGATGGCGTAGCTTCTTGATCTTCACAAGCGCTTGTAACAGCCAAGACTGAATACCCTACCTCTTTAAACATATAAAACTTAAAGTTAGTAGTAGTAAGTTTTTACTGCATAAATAAAAATATGGGATGGAAAGACAGGTAGACTTTGTAACAATTCAACATCTAGGGTGAGTAAGGTCTAGGTTATTTCAAACAGCAAATCCGTATAAGTACTTTACGCCACTTAACCTCTAAACATCGTTTTTTACACTTGACTATGGAAGTTAAAATCAATATCCGTAAATAGCTGTTTAAACAGCAAGACTCGAGGCAATTTATTAAATTAGGTAAGACAACCGTTGTCTAAGTCTTGTGACTATAACATTGAACCTAAAAAGGCCTAAAAATTTTCAAGTACTGGCGTTTAAAATAATAATAAAAAAATAATAAATATCTTTATTGGATAAATACCAGAA